ACCCCTGTACAGGGTATGAGTATTTCCTAACATTCCTACGGTGGTATTAGAGGTATGTAGTGGTGGTGGTCCGACCTAGTAGTGTCTCTTTGTTTACTAGTGGAGCTTCACATAGCGCGGGGGTTTCATCTGGTGGTGGTGCCTCTCCTGGTGGTGGTGCCTCACCTGGTGGTGGTGCCTCACCTGCTGGTGGTGCCTCTCCTGGTGGTGGTGCCTCACCTGGTGGTGGTGCCTCTCCTGGTGGTGCCTGTCTCCTGGTGGTGCCTGTCTCCTGGTGGTGCCTGTCTCCTGGTGGTGCCTGTCTCCTGGTGGTGCCTCACCTGGTGGTGCCTCACCTGGTGGTGCCTCACCTGGTGGTGCCTCACCTGGTGGTGATACCTCACCTGGTGGTGGTGCCTCACCTGGTGGTGGTGCCTCACCTGCTGGTGGTGCCTCTCCTGGTGGTGGTGCCTCACCTGGTGGTGGTGCCTCACCTGGTGGTGGTGCCTCACCTGGTGGTGCCTCACCTGGTGGTGCCTCACCTGGTGGTGATAACCTCACCTGGTGGTGGTGCCTCACCTGGTGGTGGTGCTACACCTGGTGGTGGTGCCTCACCTGGTGGTGCCTCACCCGATGGTGGTGCCTCAACTGGTGGTGCTGCTACACCTAACTAGGCTTAGAGAAACCCAGCCACAACATTGTACTGCTACAGACAGGTAGTCACACGTCTATTCTACATTGTATATTCATCCAAGTGTGCAACGACCAATGAGTCCGGTCCAACGACCTTACAGAGGTCATAAAGCCCAACAGCCAGGTCCGATCTGAGACACCTCTGGACTTAAGGTTGTAGTGGAGGGGGGATGCTGAGATGCTGAAGGTCTCAGAAGAAGGAGAAGCAGGAGTCGCTGATCTCGCCAGGGGCCAGGAGGGCCTGAAGAGCGGTCCAGGTGGCAGCCAGGCCACTGGAGGTCCCTACCACCACCACCAGCCACAGCAGGAACCGGTGCACGCCGCCGATTCGCCTATAGGAGTTATAAGGAAAGATTACATTACACACAGAAATCACAATAGCGTGATGCATCAAATGAAGAAATCCACAAGGGCCGTGATGAGGGTTCGAACCTACGTCCGAGAGGAGCCCAGACGCTACCTTAGTCGACGTAGGTTCGAACCCTCGTCACGGCCTTTGTGGATTTGTTTAAAAATTACATTGTTTCCTTTCATTGGAAAGAATCACGTGTCATCCTGGACCTATAACTACTATTAGTAATACTACTACTATTTCTACCAGCACCAGTTCTGTACTACTATTGTTCTTAATACTGTAATAACAATAATAGTCAAAATAAAAAAATTATCAAACAACCTTTGTGCCCTTAACACTTTAATTGACATTGAGAGGAGAGAGAGAGAGAGAGAGAGACGAGAGAGAGAGAGGAGAGAGAGAGAGAGAGAGAGAGAGAGAGAGAGAGAGAGAGAGAGAGAGAGAGAGAGAGAGAGAGAGAGAGAGAGAGAGAGAGAGAGAGAGAGAGAGGGGGGAGAGAGCAACCTTCTCTCTTATTTGGGAACGCACTTACGTATCTTTCCTTTTCCATATTTAAAATGCATTTTCGTATTTAAGAAAATTTGTTTTAGGTTAATTCATTAACCTTAACAAATAGGGACGATATAAATATATTTTGTAATCGTGTGTAAAATGCTTTCATTTATAACCAGGGGGGTTTAGTGGCTGGATTAATGAGCATTTAGACTTTGTTGATGAGGACGGCCTGATTTTGAAGACCAAAATTTTCATATCCATGAACCCTGATGTGGAACCGAACCGAAGTGCAGAGTTCTCAAGTTTCAGGTCAATTTTCAAGAGTTGAGCTCAATTTTCAAGAGTTGAGCTCAATTTTCAGACCCACCAATTGAGGTTTGATTTTTGGACAAATAATGTTTGCCTCGGTGTGTCCGCTTCTGGGCAGACAAAACAATTTCACATTTACCACTTTTAAAATTATTCTCATAGATACCAATAAATACCATTTCCAGTATTGGGAACGTTATCAATAATCTCGCAATTTATCTAAGTGGCAAGAATTTATGCGTTTCAGTGCTAACAAATTGTATTCGAGCGATCGAGTGTAAATTCCCTAATGGTGCAGAGTGCTTGTATTTTTAAAAGTTACTACATATATAAATATATATATATATAATATATATCTATATATATTATATATATATATATAATATATATATATATATATATATACTAAAATACTATATATAAAATGAAATAAAGTGTTAGGCTCAGGTAGATAGATTAGGTTGGCTTGATTAGCTTACACCAGGCAAGGTTATAGGTAGGTTTTAAAATCATTGACGAACCGTCTTGTGTACAACATGATGTATTCTTTATGGCTGACTAAGCAAGTTTCTCTATTTTGTTTACAGAGTCAAGTAGTTGAAGCTTACCTCCTCTCCCACGCATCGTCTTCGGAGTCACAGAGCCTCATGTAGAAAATGGGAGGGAGGACGAAGGTGAGAATGGGAACTGTGAAACTGCCGATAAAGTTGAGTATCCTGCCGAAGTTCCTCACTGCCAGGCTTACCAACACCCCGCACAACACGATGCTTGTCCGCACTAAGCAGCGCTGCCAACCAAAGGCTGCGGAAATAAATAAATAAATAACAGTGTGGTTGATGCTGGCTGTAATTTCACATTTTATCTTCATACTGTATGTCTGCAACAATGCAAATCTTGCACTCATCTGGACATTATTCTGACAAGCTGAAGTTATATTCCTGGAATTTTATTGAATACCAATTTTGCATTACCTGTGTATTTTACAAGAGTACGTGTCCCGTTGCCGGGGACAGGAAGCCTGGTGTTATTACTGAGATCTCACCCGTCCAGCTACTGACCTTACCCCAAGAGGCAACCCACACCTGACGCCTAACTTCTGGGTACCTATTTATTGCTAAGTACACAGAGGCATCAGGTGTAAGGAAACATGCCACAAACGTCTCGTCCTGCCTGGGGAATCGAACTCTGGTCTAATGTGTACAGTGTACTATGTGTTCGGGCAGCGTTTCTGCCCGAAACGCTGCGCGTACTAGTGGCTTTACAAGAATGTAAATACTGTACTATCCAATGTATTCTCACAAACCCAATGTACCTTCTTGTATATATATAAATAAATAAATAAATAAAATAAATAAATAATGGGTTACGAGTGGACCTGCGTGGCAGGTCTGTGTGGGATAACTGACCTTACAGGCTTAGTGTTTGTTGCAAGCATTAAGAGAGCAATATGGTGGCTGTAATATGGCACGGTCATCTTGCAAGGGTCTGGGGACTTATGGCACGGACATCTTGCAAGGGTCTGGGGACTTATGGCACGGACATCTTGCAAGGGTCTGGGGACTTATGGCACGGACATCTTGCAAGGGTCTGGGGACTTATGGCACGGACATCTTGCAAGGGTCTGGGCACTCAGACCTCAGTCCGACATCCGACATCTCAGACAAAGACTAATATTCCTTATCAATAATAGACCTAAATAAATGCTCTGTTCAGTTTTGCTGTAAAATATGCTACAAAAGATTAAGTATTATTTAAATGATGCAGAAAACTTTGCACTTAAGTTATGGAAACTTCCTGACAACATTTCACAGTATCTTCTAAATGAAATCCAAAAATATCAGTATAAGACGAAATCACTCTCAAAAATGAATAAATAGCAATAATAAATTTGTTAATAAAATGATGTAAATAAGCTGTCTAAACACATCAATAATTCAGATTTTCTTGGAATGAAAATCTCGACCCTAAGTTCAAAACAGACGAAAATTCAAGCCTAACTTATCAGGCTGTAACACATCTGCAAAAAAATAGAGCTTAAAGAGTATGCTGCGGATGAAATTCAAGCCATATGAACAGGGAAGGCAGGCAGTATGGCAGGCTGGAAGGCAGGCAGTATGGCAGGCTGGAAGGCAGGCAGTATGGCAGGCAGTAAAGCATGTAGTATGGCATGCAGTATGATAAGTTGGAAGGCAGTCAGGAAGGAAGCATGGCAGAAAAACAGACATACAAGCAGACCCATGTAGGCTGGCAGACGGTCAGATAGACATAGGCAGGCAGGCAGATTGACAGATAAACAGTCAAACAGACAGACAGACAGATAGCCAGACTGTCCGTCAAACAGAGAAGAATGCAAACAGGGAGGCAAGAAGGCAAGCAGACAAGCAGAGAGACACTTAAGCAGGAAGGCGAAGCAGCAAGGCAAACAAGCAGATAGGGGTGACACTGAAGAGATAGGGGACATGGTAATAACATAAAAGATTCTGAGGGAAATAGACAAAGTAGACAAAGCAGCGTTGTTCAAAGCTAGGAACAGCAGAACGAGGGGTCATAGATGGAAACTAGAAACACTAATGAGTCACAGGGACGCCAGAAAGAACTTTCCAGTGCTAGAGCCGTTAATAAGTGGAACAGGTGAGACGTAGAAGCCGTTGAAGCTAATTCGATTCAAAGTGTAAATTTTAATATGACAAAAGCGTGAGAAATGAGTCATTACATTAATTTAAGAATGTTCGGAATGCGGGGCCAGGACCCTAGCTCGACCCTGCGCGTATATCTAGGTGAGTACATCTAGGTGCCTACAAGCAGGAAGGCAGGCAGGCAGGCAGGCAGGCAGGCAGGCAGGCAGGCAGGCAGGCAGGCAGGCAGGCAGGCAGGCAGGCAGGCAGGCAGTCAAGGAAGAAAGCAGGCAAGCAGGCAGTCAAGGAAGAAATCAGACAGGAAGGCAGTCAAGGAAGAAAGCAGGCAGTGAGGCTGGCAGTCAAGGAAGAAAGCAGGCAGGCAGGCAGTCAAGGAAGAAAGCAGGCAGGCAGGCAGACACGCAGACAGGCAGGCAGTCAAGGAAGAAAGCAGGCAGGCAGACACGCAGGCAGGCGAGAGATCTCACTGTGAGGCAGATTCATGGCGTCCTCGAGGCTCTGCGAGAGAGGGTTGACGACGATGGTGTAGGTGAAGGCATTGTTGATGAGCATCAACACCCTGACTACAGTCACCGCCGGACCGTGTACTGAGAGCAGGATGTTCACCGTCACCATGTCCCCGAACTCCAGGTAGCCCAGGGCCGCCACCGGCACGTACAACACCAGCAGCGCTGCGGGAGGGATGGAGGCCGGTGTTACCACAACATGAGACTACAAGCAGCTGCACAAGGTATATTGTCCCATGCCAGGCAGCTGAGCTTCCTCTCATGTGTGTGAGGAACCTGTGAGGGCTTCAAGCACCTCATGTCTTACGAATATGTAGGGAGATAGGGAAAGGGTAGTAATGAGTGGGTGAGGACCAAGAGTCGGGTGGTTATGAGTAGGTGGGGAGGGGAAAATGAGGGGAGAAGAGCTGGTGACTGGGAGGGAAGATCGGAGATGTTTTGAATGAAGTGAGACGGAGGTTCGAGTCGCGGAGTCTCCTCGTCGCTATCTGTGTAGCATGCCACAACACAATTAAGGGGAACGTTAAACAGTCTTTAGGGACAATTGTAAGTGGAAGCTGTTCCAGGCAAACAATAACCTGGAGCCGCATGCTCATAAAGTGAGATTGTCACACACACACTCACACTCACACACACACACACACACACACACACACACACACACTCACACACACACACAAAACACACACACACACACACACACAACACACACCACACTCACACTATATTATATATGTATATATATATATATATATGGATATATATATATATATATATATATATATATATATATATATATATATATATATATTATATATATACTGATGGGGTAAGTACTGATGGGTAAGTACTGATGGGTAAGTACTGATGAGTAAGTACTGATGAGTAAGTACTGATAGATAAGTACACATGGACGCGACTTACTACTGAACGCAATGATCACAGCCAAGGGAAACTTGGATCGATCAGACATGTCGTTCTGGATGGTGGGGAAGGTGACCGCCCCGCCGTACGAGAACATGATGGTGCCGAAGCCCAGGAAGAAGGAGGAGAAGGTCGGTGGTGGGTGCTGGGGCTCGTAGAGCTGGTCCTCCACCAGCACCTTCACCACCACCACCAGCACCGCCGCCAGCGTCGCCACCAGCGCCAACACCGACACGTGCCTGGGGGAGTAAACAACAGGTCAGGTCACGTGGGATCTCACGTAGTACCGCGCACGTTGTCATCATCCGCGTTAATGGGCGCTCCGTCGATATATATTGTTCACACCGTTTATAAGCAATTATCTGCCAACTTCAAAAATAGAAGCTGATTTGATCAGTCTCACGATTTGACGAGCGTCAAATATGATCTGCCGGAGGTCACAAATTTCTTCCCTTATACTCTGCCCTGTCGTTCCCTTTTCCCGCTCCATACTCATCAAACAAGTCCTTATCCCTGCTCTGCCCCATCACCACCCCTTCTCCGGTTCCATCAACACCATTTCCACAAATAATTCCCCCGCCCATTTACTCACCTTTTCTCCACCTATCCCGTCACCTACCCATTCATGTCCCTTCCCTGGCCTTACCCCATCTCCTATGCCCCTCCCAACCTATCCCATATACTCTTCCCCTTACCCATTCCCCATCACCCAGTCTCCACTACCTTCTCACCACCACAACAATCGCCTTCACTTACCACAACCACTCACACACCTGCTTGATGGGGTTCTGGGAGTTCTTCTACTCCCCAAGCCTGGCCCGAGAGTTGTGAGAGTTTGGTCCACCAGGCTGTTGCTCGGAGCGGCCCGCAGGCCCACATACCCACCACAGCCCGGCTGATCCGGAACTTCTCTTAGAAAGCAGTCCAGTTTTCTCTTGAAGATGTCCACGGTTGTTCCGGCAATATTTCTTATAGTCGCTGGGAGGACGTTGAACAACCGCGGACATCGAAAAAATGAAAGACCGAAGAACTTTCTGAGCGGTCCAGAATTCGTCTCCCAATAATGGAGGACTAGGCTACAGCCCCGTCAACACCAGCTGTCCCGTTTTCTGTTGCTCTCTCCGTTGTTATTGGTTGCGCTAGTCTCTTGTTTTTCTGCCAAGGTTTAACCGGGCTCAATTTTCTAAAAAAAAAGGTGTGTGTAGCTTTGACTGATATTCAATTTGGATTAACTTCGATGTTGGGCGAAGTATTTTCTTTAATATTTACACAATACTCGAGAACTGTGGATCGATTAAATAAAAAATACCATTACACATTTTCCTTTGATAATTATTTTCCATAAAAGCGACTGAAAATAAATAAATGAGCTATTCAAATGTGAGAAGAATCGGGTTCAAGCCCTGAGCAGGGCTGGACGATTGGGCACCTGGCAGTAGTGGGGACCCACCCATATACAATTTCTGACTAAAAAATGGGTCAAACAGGTCGTGCCATTTAATTATCAGGAGCCCCAGTACTCAAATCTGCCATCACAACATATATTTTGCAAGTCAATATCCATGTAGTACATGGCAGCTTAAAAACTATGGAAAAAGCACTATTTTAGAAGATTTATTGAGAATCTCAATGGGAGTCTAATCCACTTAAAAGAGTGCAGTTGGGCTGACCTCGATCCATTGTTAACAGTGCCCTCGCATCCACCAGTCACCCCTTTATAGTTGGGTGAGGCTAGCCCCAGGCATCGGGCCTCCACTCTTCTACAAGCAACCATCAATTATATTTTATAGATATACTAGCTGTACCCGGTCACACGTTGCTGTGGCTCAGCAACGTGTGCGTGTTGCTGAGCCACAGCAACCCTTTCCCGTCCCTTCCCCCCCCGTCCTTTCCAAAATTTCCACTCCCCCGTCCCCTCATCCTCCCCTCCATTCCCTCATCCCCTTGTCCTCCCCACCATTCCCTCACATGAAAAACACAGTTAAAAAACATGGGTTTTACCTATCACAGGTTTGACATTATATAGTAGGTATATTATAACACTCGCGTATTCGAATGCAAAGGTGTGTGAAAATTTCAAAACAATCAATGAAGAACTTTTCGGAGGGAGGGAATTATCAAGGGAAAGAGCCAAGCCATTACGACTATATAGCACTGGGAAGGGATCGGGATAAGGATTTGGGATGGGACGGGGGAAAGTAATGGTGCCCAACCACTTGGACGGTCGGGGATTAAACGAACTTTTCGGAGATTTCCCTCACATGAAAAATACTCAGCGTGTGTTACTTTTACATCCAACAGATGACGCTGTTTTTTTTAATGCATGTTTTTACCTGTCACAGGTGTGGCATCGGTATAATAGGTATATAAAAACACACGCGTATTCGAATGGAACACTGTGTAAAAATTTCAAAGCAATCGGTAAATAACTTTCGGAGATTACAGCACGTGTTGCTTTTACGTCCAACAGGTGGCGCTGGTAAAAAAATAATCTTTTTATCTGTCACAGGTGTGGCATCTGTATAGTAGGTATATAAAAACATGCGCGTATTCGAATGAAACGTTGTTTCAAAATTTCAAAGCAATCTTTGAAGACCTTTCAGAGATCAACGATTCTGAACGAAACTAACATTTACATTTTTATTTATATAGATATTATAATTACAATTTTAGCACACCAAGGTCTATTTTTAGAGTCCTTTGGCCAGATTCACGAAGCAGTTTCGCAAGCACTTACGAACCTGTCCATCTTTTCTCAATCTTTGGCGGCTTTGTTTACAATTATTAAACAGTTAATGAGCTCCGAAGCACCAGGAGGCTGTTTATAACAATAACAACAGTTGATTGGGAAGTTTTCATGCTTGTAAACTGTTTAATAAATGTACCAAAGCCGTCAAAGATTGAAGAAAGATGTACACGTTCGTAAGTACTTGCGTATCTGCTTCGTGAATCTGGCCCCCTTGACTGTTCTTAAAGTCATCCTTCAGGGATCCTCACTCCAATTCTTATGCAAACCTCACTACCCAGCTCTTATCCTCACAAGAGCCTCTCATAAAGCAGGTCCAGCAAGTGTCACAAGAAATTTACATATTCTAAACTTTTCGCGGAAGATTTTCCCTTGAAGCGTTGACTCTCTCTCTCCAGTGTACGTTAAACTGCACTCAACTCTTAACTTCTAAGTACTAGAAGATTTAAGAGAAGGAATTTAATCTTTGTATGAATAATAAAACATTATAAAGAAATCTGCAGAAGGCCTTTTAGGTGACAGGGAAGTAGGTGTTACATATGTGTATACTCTTACTTGCGTATACTTGTGTATACTTTATCACAAGTATACTTGTGTATACTTTATCTCACTTGGGCTCGAACCTTCCCTGTGAGCCCGGTTATGTCTTACTGCTAATTTCTTCTGCAGATCTGCTGCTCTATTTCCGTATCAGCGTTTATTCATTTATTTTTAAAACCTAAACTTTAATAATTTTTCAATGTTTTAATTTAAATCCATTGATTAGTATTCTATGTTATTTGTTATTATTATTTTGTTCTATTTATGTTATTTATCTGTTGACACTAGATTAACAATATTATTTTCCTATTTGGCTCTGAAATATACTGTTTAAGAAAACAATCTTCATCAAGTGTAATAAGACAATCGACTTGAGAATGGTCCAGGACGGACCGAAACGTCGTCGTCCCTTCACCTTCTAGTGTGTGGTCTGGTCAACATACTTCAGCCACGTTATTGTGACTCATCGCCTACAATCTTCATCAACTTCTCTTCTGTCTCACCATTCACATTCTTATCTAGTTTATTTAACTAAAATTAAATCTCCTACAATGCAGACGTTATTACACTTACATGTTTGTGGTAGAGACATGTATTCGTTCTGCCAGACTTGTTGGCCTAGTTATAACTGAGAATTTGATATTTATTTGTTATATTCTATTAAGTCCAAATTGTTTCTGCTTGTTCCTGTTTTGATTTTTAATTGAATAGAATATTTTAGATATTTGATTTAAAATAAATGGTACTCCTAATTTTATAATTTGTCTGTCATTATGAAATAATTTATATCTCTTTATTTGGTATTTCTTTAATAGTTACTTTGTTTCAACACATATCCATGTTTCTGTGATTGTAATGACATATTATTTATATGCACACAAATGCACTAATGCATTCATTTTATATATAATACCCCTGCTATATCATACATCTTTTGGAATGTGCTCATATCAGAACCTTTACAAACTTTCCCATTTCTTTACCGAAATCCCCATACATAGACTCAAATTTCCTCCACCAGAACCATATACTTGGCTAGGGTTTAGAACCTTGCGAGCAACAAAAACACTTTAACAGGTTCAAATCCCTGTATAAGCAACCTTAAATACCCCCAATCAAAAATTGTCATGCTTTTTCCTTGTACCGTTCCTGCATATCTCACCAGAATTCCTTTGGGCTGCCAAGCCAGGACAGGGGAATGAAGACGCAGCCACAAGCCAGGACCCAGCTGCAGACGGTGAGTGTGGGCAGGAGGGGCGCCAGCACGGAAGCCACAAGCTCCGCTGACAGGAGTATGGTCACTATTGATACCCCAAAGAGCGTCACACACTGGATCACGGTCACCAGGTACCTGTCGGAGGCGCAGCCAGGTGAGAGAGCGGGTAATAGTGACCTGGCGAAGGCGCAGGAGCAGGTTTCTGAGCAAGTTTCTGTTTCAATTTCTGAGGGATTTCTGAGCAAAGAGCAAGAGTGTTGACAAACAAGGGAGATGGAACTGGTTGCTTAAGAAACATAGCTTTATTAAGAAGGGACAGGTTAAAATCAATATAATAATAAAAAAATCATTGTGTGGGGGGGATAGGAAGCAAGTGTATATATACATGATAGGCTTATACCAAGGTCCCTTCCCCCAAATGATGAATTACCTACTTCCCCTGGATGCAATCCTACATCAAGCTGATTAACTCCTGGGTATTATTTACTGCTAGGTGAACAGATGCATCAGGTGATAGGAATGTGCATAACCAATTATGTCCCACCCGTGATTCGAACCCGGAATTCCTGATTGTGAGTCTGAAACACACACACAACACACACACACACACACACACACACTGGAAGAGTTTGAGATTACCAGTGGGGAAGTTAAGGAGTGTTTTACTAGAGTTGGACGTGACGAAGGCTATAGGCCCAGATGGAATCTCCCCTTTGGGTTCTAAAGGAAGGAGCAAGAGAACTGAGCCTACCACTCTCCATAGTGTATAACAAATCACTGGCAACAGGGGAACTGCCAGATACTTGGAAAGCAGCTACGTAGTCCCGATATACAGAAAGGGGATAGACAGGAGGCACTGACTACAGGCCAGTGTCCCTAACCTGCATACCATGCAAGCTGATGGAGAAGATTGTGCGAAAAAAACTAGTGGAGCATCTGGAGCGAAGGAACTTTGTAACACAGCATCAACATGGGTTCAGGGATGGCAGGTCCTGCCTCACAGGGTTACTTGAATTCTACGACCAGGCAAACAAAATAAGGCAAGAAAGAGAAGGGTGGGCAGACTGCATATTTTTGGATTGTCAGAAAACCTTTGATACAGTGCCACACAAGAGGCTAGTGCGAAAGTTGGAGATGCAGGCTGGAGTGAGAGGGAAGGTACTCCCGGTGGATAGAGGAATACCTAAGCAACAGGAGACAACGAGTCTGTGTGAGGGGTGAAGTCTCAGATTGGCGAGACGTCACAAGTGGAGTCCCGCAGGGGTCAGTCCTCGGACCTATACTGTTTCTGATATATGTAAATGATCTCCCAGAGGGTATAGATTCGTTCCTCTCAATGTTTGCTGACGATGCAAAAATTATGAGGAGGATTGAAACAGAGGATGATAGTAGGAGGCTACAAGATGACCTGGATAGACTGAGTGAATGGTCCAACAAATGGCTGTTGAGTTCAACCCGAGTAAATGCAAAGTAATGAAACTAGGCAGTGGAAACAGGAGGCCAGGCACAGGATACAGAATAGGAGATGAAGTACTTAATGAAACAGACAGAGAGAAAGATCTAGGAGTTGATATCACACCAACCTGTCTCCTGAAGCCCACATAAAGAGAATAACGTCTGCGGCATATGCGAGGCTGGCTAACATCAGAACGGCCGTTCAGGAACCTGTGTAAGGAATCATTCAGAATCTTGTACACCACATATGTAAGACCAATCCTGGAGTATGCGGCCCCAGCATGGAGCCCGTACCTTGTCAAGCACAAGACGAATCTGGAAAAAGTTCAGAGGTATGCCGCTAGACTAGTCCCAGAACTACGAGGCATGAATTAAAAGGAAAGGCTGCGGGAAATGCACCTTACGACACTGGAAGACAGAAGAGTAAGGGTAGACATGATCACTACCTACAAAATCCTCAGGGGAATCGACCGGGTAAACAAGGACGAACTTTTCAACACATGGTGGGACGCGAACAAGGGGACACAGTGGAAGCTGAGTACCAAATGAGCCACAGAGACGTTAGAAAGAACTTTTTCAGTGTCAGAGTAGTTAGCAAATGGAATGCATTAGGAAGTGATGTGGTGGAGGCTGACTCCATTCACAGTTTCAAATGTAGATATGATAGAGCCCAATAGGCTCAGGAATCTGTACACCAGTTGATTGACGGTTGGAGGCGGGACCAAAGACCAGAGCTCAACCCCGCAAGCACAATTAGGTGAGTACAATTAGGTGAGTACACACGCACACACGCACACACACACACACACACACAACACACACACACACGAAGAAAGTTTGTGGAACATCTGGAGCGAAAGAACTTTGTAACACGGCATCAACATGGGTTCAGGGATGGCAAGTCCTGCCTCACAGGGTTAATTGAATTCTACGACCAGATAATAAAAATCAGGCAAGAAAGAGAAGGGTGGGCAGACTGCATATTTTTGGATTGGCAGAAAACCTTTGATACAGTACCACACAAGAGGCTAGTGAAAAAGCTGGAGATGCAGGCTGGAGTGAAAGGGAAAGTACTCCATTGGAAAAGGGAGTACTTAAGCAACAGAAGACAACGAGTCACTGTGAGGGGTGAGGTCTTATATTGGCGAGACGTCACAAGTGGAGTCCCGCAGGGGTCAGTCCTTGGACTTATACTGTTTCTGATATATGTAAATGATCTCCTAGAGGGTATAGACTCGTTTCTCTCAATGTTTGCTGACGATGCAAAAATTATGAAGAGGATTGAAACAGAGGATGATAGTAAGAGGCTACAAGATGACCTAGACAGACTGAATGAATGGTCCAACAAATGTCTGCTAAAGTTAAACCCGAGTAAATGCAAAGTAATGAAATTAGGTGGTGGAAACAGGAGGCCAGACACAGGATACAGAATAGGAGATGAAGTACTTAATGAAACGGATAGAGAGAAAGATCTAGAAGTTGATATCACACCAAACCTGTCTCCTGAAGCCCACATAAAAAGAATAACATCTGCGGCATATGCGAGGCTGGCTAACATCAGAACAGCCTTCAGGAACCTGTGTAAGGAATCATTCAGAACCTTGTATACCACATATGTAAGACCAATCCTGGAGTATGCGGCCCCAGCATGGAACCCGTACCTTGTCAAGCACAAGACGAAGCTGGAAAAAGTTCAGAGGTATGCCACTAGACAATTCCCAGAACTAAGAGGAATGAGTTACGAGGAAAGGCTGCGGGAAATGCACCTTACGACACTGGAAGACAAAAGAGTAAGGGGAGACATGATCCCTACCTACAAAATCCTCAGGGGAATTGACAGGGTAGACAAGGATAAACTATTCAACACTGATGGGACGCGAACAGGGGGACACAGGTGGAAACCGAGTATCCAAATGAGTCACGGGGGCGTTAGAAAGAACTACTTTTTCAGTGTCAGAGTAGTTAACAGGTGGAATGCATTAGGCAGTGATGTGATGGAGGCTGACTCCATACACAGTTTCAAATGTAGATAGAGCCCAGTAGGCTCAGGAACCTGTACACCAGTTGATTGACAGTTGAGAGGCGGGACCAAAGTGCCAGAGCTCAACCCCTGCAAGCACAAATAGGTGAGTACACCACGAGCGTAGCTCTCAACCCGTAACTAAACTTAGCTAATTACACTTACGACATTACACACGCAAGCACTCCCTGACCCCACTCACTCCCTGGCACTAATGATTTCTAGGAATAATGTGTCCAAGAAGAGCCTTAAAGTATGGTACACCAACGCTGACGGAGTTACAAACAAAGCAGAGACAAAAGGAAAAATAAAGTTAGTGAAAAGATCCTGATTGAATTGCAATATTAGGAGGCCTCCTGCAGTCTTGGAAGCCGGAATAACCGCTCTGGTTATTCCAGGTTTTTTGCAATAGTGAAATAAATAATAAACGATATGATCTCTACTGCAATATTCTCAGGGAGATTCCAAGTGATATGGAAAGGAAGACAACAAAGGCAAGGACAAGGAGGAGTTGCACTCGTAATAAAACGGAAGTGGAAGTTCGAAAAACTAGAGAATCAGAATGAAAAAGCATTCACAGACTCCATCATTGGGACATTGGTAGCAGATTGGAAATGAATTGGGGTCCTGGTAATTTACAATCCTTCCTCCCCACCAAACAACAAAAGACCCAGGAAGAAGTATGATGAAAAGAACAAAGCATGCATAGATGAATTGCAGATAGCAACAGCAGCGCCACACAGGATGAGAGCTAAACTTTTGATCATTGAGGACCTAAATCATGGAAAGATCGACTAGGAATCCAGAAATCCCCGTGGTGGGAAAGAACTGCGGGGAGCGAAATTAGTGGAAGTTGTAGAAAGAAACTTCTTAACACAGTATGTAAAGCGATGAGTCACAATAACGTGGCTGAAGTATGTTGACCAATCCACACACTAGAAAATGAAGGGTCGATGACGTTTCGGTCCGTCCTGGACCATTCTCAAGTCTCCACCACATCACTGCCTAATGCATTCCATCCGTTAACTACTCTGACACTGAAAAAGTTCCTTCTAACGTCTCTGTGGCTCATGTGGGTACTCAGTTTCCACCTGTGAGAATGGTCCACCTGTGAGAATGGTCCAGGACGGACCGAAACGTCGTCGTCCCTTCATTTTCTAGTGTGAGGATTGGTCAACAGTATGTAAAAGAGGACACAAGAGAAAGGAGAGGAGATACATCAATTCTACTGGACTTGATCTTCACTTAGAATGAGGAAGACATGAAGAACTTTGAATGTGAAATACCACTGGGAGCAAGTGACCATTGAATCCTGGCATTTGACTATATGATTGAACTTAAAACAGTGCCCATAACACTAGAAGTCAGGGAAGAGAAAGTAGACTATAAAAAATGGGAGAACATGAAAATAAAAGAGTATCTGGGAAGTGTGCAATGGGAGGAGGAACTCAGAGGGAAGACGGTTCAGGAAATGATGGACCAAGTCAAACTGAGGTACAAAGAGGCTGAAGAGTGATTCATACCACCATTAAGGGAAAAAAGTAGGAGGGAATATACCCGAGGTTCAATAGAAAGTGCTAGACAGGAAACCAAAGAAAAAGTTTGCTCATTATCCATAGTTAAGTTGCCCATTATCTATAGTTAAGTCTGGTCAATAGTAAGAGGAACGTAACTAAATCTACATTGGCCATAGCAGATTTATTATTAAGAAAATAAAATAATTATGAGATAGCAGTTGATATGAGAGATAACAAAGTTCATTATAACATGTTATCTATATCAGGCGTAAGAATGATAACTGATATCTATTTGACAATGTTGGGTAGGCCTACTATTTTTGTATGTTGTGTATGGGAAGAAATATCTACAGGAACTGCAGTCACAGACGGGCTGTTGCTAGCTTGTTCTCTCTCTCTCCCTCTCTCTCTCTCTCCTTCTCTCTCTCCTCTTCCCTCTCTCTCTCTCCGCTCTCCTCTCCCCTCCCTCTCTCTCTCTCCTCTCCTCCTTTACTCTCTCTTCTCTCTCCCTATCTCTCCTCTCTATCTCTCTCGTCTCTCTCTCTCTCTCTCCTCTCTCTCTCGCTCCCTCTCCCTCTCCCGCTCCTCTCCCCCCCCCTCCTCTCCCCTCTCTCTCTCTCCTTCTCTCTCTTCTCCTCCCTCTCTCTCTCTCTCTCTCTCTCTCCCCCTCTCCCTCTCTCTCTCTCTCTCTCCTCTCTCTCTCTCTCTCTCTCTCCTCGTCTCTCTCTCTCTACACAAACTAATGAGGCGGGTTGAAACAAATGAGGATTGTAAGATTCTCCTTGATGATTTGAACAAGCTGCAAAGCTGGCCTGAAAAATGGCTGCTAGAGTTCAACACCAGGAAGTGTAAGATGATTGAAATGGGATCAGGAGCCAGAAAACTGAAAGGCCATTACACGATGAAAGGAAACTTCATCATGACAACAAGAGTAAAAGACCTGGGATTGGATATAACACTAAGCCGAACTCCAGAGTTGACCAGACCACACACTAGAAGATGAAGGGACGACGACGTTTCGGTCCGTCCTGGACCATTCTCTTGAATCGATTTGAGAATGGTCCAGGACGGACCGAAACGTCGTCGTCCCTTCACCTTCTAGTGTGTAGTCTGGCCAACTTACTTTAGCCACGTTATTGTGACTCATCGCCTGCCTAACTCCAGAGGCTCATATAAATAGAATAACGCCAGCCGCATACTCTACGTTAGCAAAAGTCAGAATATCCGAATATCCTTCAGAAACTTGAATACGGAAGTTTTAGATCACAATAAACTGCCCTGTGAGGCCAGTTTTAGAGTATGCCGCCCCATCATGGACCCCCCATCTAAAAAACATAAGGAAACTCCAAAAGATGCAGGGTTGCGAGGGATGAGTTACGATGACAGACTGAAGGAATTAAACCTAACGATGTAAGAGAGGAGTAGGGAGAAGGGGGACATGATACAGACGTATAAAATACTTAGAGGGATTGGCAAGGAGGAAACTGAGAACATGTTTACATTAAATACCAATAGTTCCAGGGGGCACGGATGGAAGCTTGAGGCTCAGATGTGTCATAGAGATGTTAGAAAGTTTTCCTTTAGTGTAATGGTAGTGAGTAAATGGAATGACCCAAAGGAACCGGTTGTAGAGGCTATCTTCTTGAGATGATTTCGGGGCTTAGTGTCACCGCGGCCCGGTCCTCGACCAGGCCTCCTTCACCAGGAAGCAGCCCGTAGCAGCTGTCTAACTCCCAGGTACCTATTTACTGCTAGGTAACAGGGGGCATCAGGGTGAAAGAAACATTTTGCCCATTTGTCTCCGCCTAAACCAGGGATCGAACCCGGAACCTCAGCACTACGAATCCGAAATACTGTCCACCCAGCTGTCAGCTGGAGGCTAACTCCATTCATAACTTTAATTAGAAGCGGTATGATAGGGAAATGCGTCAGGAGTCATTGCATTAGACAACTAGCGGCTAGAAAAGCGGGGTCCAAGAGCAAGAGCTCGATTCTGCAGGCACAAATAGTTGAGAACAAATAAGTGGCTAAACACACACAAACATCAAGAGGATATGACGCCAGGTTGGCCAACATAAGAACTGCTGAAGAAACTTGAATCATTTAGAACCTTGCATACCACATATGTCAGACCAATCCTGGTGTATGCAGCTCTAGCGTGGAGTTCATGTCTAGTCAAGCACAAGGCTAACTTGGAGAAAGTTCAAAGGTATGGCATCAGACTAGTATCCAGAACTGAGGGGTATGAGCTACGAGGACAGACTACGGGAACTGCACCTCACGTCCTGGAAGACATAAGAGTTATGGAGGACATGATCACCACATGCATGATTCTCAGAGGAATTGATAGAGTACATAAGGACAGTTGATTTAACACAAGGGGTACACGCTCCAGGGGACACAGGTGGAAACTGAGTACAGAAATAAGCCATAGACACATTAGAAAGAACTTCAGAGTAGTTAACAAATGCAATGCATTAAGCAGTGATGTGGTGGAGGCTGACTCCATACACAGTTTCAAATGTAGATATGATAGAGCCCAATAGGCTCAGGAATCTGTACACCAGTTGACTGACAGTTGAGAGGCGGGACCAAAGAGCCGAAGCTCAGCCCCCGCAAACACAACTAGGTGAGTACAATTATGTGAAGGGAATACACACACACAGTGAATGTTTTTAAATTATTAGTAATAAAAATGATACAAATTAAAGAATCACTACAAGCGCAGATTAGTTCACGTAGCAATATTTAAATAATTACATTTATACTCACACAAATAAACAACTACACACAAAGATGTGCGTTAAGATTCATCCATTATATCTAAGGAAACTACACTCTCGCTTCCCTCAACGCCTCATGACTCCAGGCACGCCAGTTCGATCCCATCATACGGCTTTAATCTTTTTCTAACTGATATATCACATTCTTGTGCAAACAGAAATCACAATAGCGTGATGCATCAAATGAATAAATCCACAAGGGCCATGACAAGGATTCGAACTTACGTCCGAGAGGATCCCAGACGCTCAGTCCATTAAGGCAGCGTCTGGGATCCTCTCGAACGTAAGTTCGAACCCTCGTCACGGCCCTTGTGGATTTGTACATTCTCGTGATTTCAATTTACAAACCATCCAAGTCTCCAGTCCATGACTGTGTGTGTTCCTTCACTCACCAGCCAGGTCTGCCCAGGGTCCTCAGGGCCATGGCGGGGTAGGGCTTCCTGCAGGCCCGCTGGTACTCGGGCCACCTCTCCTCCAGGATCACCCAGCAGGTCCCGAGGCGGCAGGCAGCGAAGGCCACGATCACGCAGGATGCCGACAGCAGCCCAACCCCAGCCCAGCCTGTCGGGGCGGGGCAAGTTAGTGCACAAGGACGGTGATGTTTACGGACAAATCAGCAAGTATACCTGAGCATTGTTCATGCACGCTCACCCGTGTGGACACACACTCACCTGTCTGAGCAATGGCCCAGGGGAGGGCCAGGACCCCCAGGCCAGCCACCTGGGCCACGAGGAAGAAGGAGGTGAGGAGGACACCCAAGCCGTTGCGGACCCGACCATGGTCACCGCTGCACACCAGGGGGGACTCCAGGGGCGGCGGCCCCTCTCCTGTGTCTGCCCTGTACACGAGGGAACACATGATATGAGAGAGAGAGAGAGAGAGAGAGAGAGAGAGAGAGAGAGAGAGAGAGAGAGAGAGAGAGAGAGAGAGAGAGAGAGAGAGAGAGAGAGAGAGAGAGAGAGAGCAGTGAGGCCTCACACCGTGCAGGAGGGGCGAGGTAGGAGAGAGGAAGTAATAAATATCATTCATCTCTCTGAACTATAAAATAACTCTCTGAACTATTTTATTTAACTTTTTATAGTGAAACTAATTTAAGGTAAATTATTCCTTTCCCTTAAAGAGTGGACGGGTGATTTAAATTCTGTTAAAGTTGGTTTAGTTTAAAAGAGAAAGAGAATAATATTCCGAGCTAATTCACATTCGTGAATTAGAAAATAGAAGCGTTAGAATAGTTCCCAGCGGGAAGTGGGATGGTGGCAGTGGTGTTAGAAAAGCAGCTTCAGTTATATAAAGTCATGTTTATTTAACCCATTACTAGCTGTGTGTTTAATTAATCTGTCTTAATATGTTACGTAAAGTCATTCATTACCTCGGTTATAATTATTATATTTTTATATCTAATGAGACTTCGTCCCCCTTGTTATAATGACAATGATAACAATAATAAAATTACCAATAATATATATATATATATATATATATATATATATATATATATATATATATATATATATATATATATATATATATATATATATATATTAATATTGGGAATTTTATTCCCAATAATATATATTCCGAAAGCTTTGGAATATATATTTCGAAATATATATATAGTTTTGGTCTCGTCTGTGTAAATAAGAGAAAAGATAATATGAAAAATAAAGCGTTTTCATTATATAATTAAAATTTGGATCGCAGGTAGTGAAGCTAAATTTTATGAATACTAAAAATAACTTACTAAACCGTGCACACACAGCGATGTACATACACACACGCACACATTGTACGTGTGTATGTGTGCGTGTGTGTTACATCGCTGTGTGTGTATGGCGATGTATTAATATACATCCCCCCAGCATGGAACCCTTATCTGAAAAAGGATAAAGAGAAACTAGAAAAGGTCCAAAGATCTGCAACGAGATTCGTTTGGGAGCTGAGGGGATTGAACTATGAGGAAAGACTGAGAGAACTGGACTTTATCACACTGTAAAAAATGAGAGGGAGGGACATGATAACAATATATAAGATTCTAAGGGAAACTGACATAGACAAAACAGCGTTGTTCAATGCTAGGAACAGCAGAACAGCACAACGCAGATGAGTCACAGAGACACCAGGAAGAACTTTTTCAGTGTTAGAACTATCAGTAAATGGAATAGGTTAGATACAGGAATCGTTCAAGCAAATTCGTTTCAAAATTGAAAATGTAAATGCGATAAAAGCGTGAGAAATGAATCATTGCATTAATCTACGAACGTTCGGAGGCTCGGAACTTCGTGCAAGCACATCTAGGTGAGTATATCTAGGTGGGTACATCTAGATGAGTATATCTAGGTGAGTACATCTAGGTGAGTACATCTAGGTGAGTACATCTAGGCGAGTACATCTAGGTGAGTACATCTGGGTGAATACATCTAGGTGGGTACATCTAGGTGAGTATATCTAGGCGAGTACATCTAGGCGAGTACATCTAGGTGAGTACATCTAGGTGAGTACATCTAGGCGAGTACATCTAGGTGAGTACATCTAGGTGAGTACATCTAGGTGAGTACATCTTGGTGAGTACATCTAGGTGAGTACATCTAGGTGAGTACATCTAGGTGAGTACATCTAGGTGAGTACATCTAGGTGAGTACATCTAGGTGAGTACATCTTGGTGAGTACATCTAGGTGAGTACATCTAGGTGAGTACATCTAGGTGAGTACATCTAGGTGAGTACATCTAGGTGAGTACATCTAGGTGAGTACATCTAGGTGAGTACATCTAGGTGAGTACATCTAGGTGAGTACATCTGGGTGAGTACATCTAGGTGAGTACATCTAGGTGAGTACATCTAGTTGGGTACATCTAGGTGAGTACATCTAGGTGAGTACATCTAGGTGAGTACATCTAGGTGAGTACATCTAGGTGAGTACATCTAGGTGAGTACATCTAGGTGAGTACATCTAGGTGAGTACATCTAGGTGAGTACATCTAGGTGAGTACATCTAGGTGAGTACATCTAGGTGAGTACATCTAGGTGAGTACATCTAGGTGAGTACATCTAGGTGAGTACATCTAGGTGAGTACATCTAGGTAGGTACGTCTAGGTGAGTTCATCTAGGTGAGTACATCTAGGCGAGTACATCTAGGTGAGTACATCTGGGTGAGTACATCTAGGTAAGTACACCTAGGTGAGTACATCTAGGCGAGTACATCTAGGTGAGTACATCTAGGTGAGTACATCTAGGTGAGTACATCTAGGCGAGTACATCTAGGTGAGTACATCTAGGTGGGTACATCTAGGTGAGTACATCTAGGCGAGTACATCTAGGTGAGTACATCTGGGTGGGTACACGCTCAAGCGCCAACTACTGGGACTTAAGGTCATATCAGCGACACAAGAGACATCTAGTGTGAAGCGGTTAGGGTGAGATCTCTGACAGTGTTAACTTTAATAAGACCTATCAAAATCCTCAGATTAGGCAAAATTGTAATTAATTTTGTCAATAAAGATGTTAATAATAATAAGTGTAAACACCACTCATTGCTGCGATGTTCGCCTGCTGGGAGGTCTATTTTAGGGTCCACTTACGAAACCTGTACATCTTTCCAAGACCATGACAGCTTAGTCTGCATTTATTAAACAGTTTACAAGCTATGGAACTTCACAACCCCGAGGTTGTTATTGTTACAGACAACCTCGGAGCTCATAAACTCTAATGAATGTAAACTAAGCCGCCGTGATCGAGGGAAGATGTACAGGTTTCGCAAATGGGCAGTAAGTAATTATCAAAAGAAGGCGCCAAGAATGGGTACTTAAATGCTGGATGAACAATGGACCAGGTCTGGGACTTTGAGCTTATCTTAGCTCTAACAACCAAAACTACCATCTAACAACCACAACTACCCCTCTAACAACCACAACTACTCCTCTAACAACCACAACTACCCACTAACAACCACAACTACCCTCTAACAACCACAACTACCCTCTAACAACCACAACTATCCTCTAACAACCACAACTACCCCTCTAACAACCACCACAGTGCTTACCCTAGTGTTGCCAGCCCCGTCAACTACCACCATAGCCCTGAAGTAGTCATACTCAGTTTTCCTACACTGACGTACTGGATTGATCTGTCTGCTTGTATTTTATCTAACCTAACCTAACCTAGTTCAACCCAACCTAACCTAACCTAGATCAACCCAACCTAACATAACCCAGCCGAGCCAGTGCAGTCCAACCTAAGCATAATAAATACAGCAGTCCATCCTAGCATAATAAATACAGTTTTATGATATAGAAACCAAGCTTCGTCGAGTCGTCTGGTGTGGGAAAGGAGCATACTATGGTGCCTCGCCCAGCAACACCTTTGCTCGACTCACCCGCCGTAGGTAGTAACAGGAGGCGGGAGCAGGCTGGGTGCTCCTTGCTTCATGGCGGACGACTCCTGCTGTATATTGGGCGGCGGCGTCTGCCTCCAGCCTGGCAGCAACAGTGTCTTCTCTGATTTCGTCTTCGAACGGAACATGTTGCAGATTTCCAACTATTTGTTGGGGTAGATTTCCCACTTTCTGTGTGTTGGGGTTGATTTCCCACTTTCTGTGTTCTTTGTTGGGGTAGATTTCCCACTTTCTGTGTTCTTTGTTGGGGTAGATTTCCCACTTTCTGTGTTCTTTGTTGGGGTAGATTTCCCACTTTCTGTGTTCTTTGTTCGGGTAGATTTCCCACTTTGTGTTCTTGTTGGGGTAGATTCTTTGTTGGGGTAGATTTCCCACTTTCTGTGTTCTTTGTTGGGGTAGATTTCCCACTTTCTGTGTTCTTTGTTGGGGTAGATTTCCCACTTTGTGTATTCTTCGTTGGAGTAGATTTCCCACTTTCTATAATATGTATGTCCTTCTCTTCCAAACTATTGAACGGAAGCTAGATTTTGTTTATATAATTGCGGGTGGTTCCAGGCAGTGTTGGAAATTACAATTAACAATTATATTTCGCTTTCCTCACCTTCTCTTCCAAATACTTCTACCTTTCTCTCACTTATACCTCACTTTCTCTTCCTGGTATTGTCCCTGAGTGACAGTCTCTTCTCTTAGCCTTGATGTGGGCTGCTTGGAGGTGGGTACTGTGGCGGGGCGAAGCAAGCCGTGTGGGCGTGGCTGGTGGGCGTGGTTGGTGGGCGTGGTTGGTGGGCGTGGCTGGTGGGCGTGGTTGGTGGGCGTGGCAGGTGGAGGAGTGTGGCAGGTGTGGTGGCAGGGCGTGTGGGCGTAGCAAAGGGTCTCGTCTGATGATCCTGTAAGGGTCAAGGAAAAATAATTAGGCTAAATATAAGTTATCTTCTTTAAGTGAAAACTTAACACAAGACATGACTGTAAGAAACTGCTTCACGTTCCCACGGTAACGGAAGGTGACGCCCGGTGAGCTAGCTGAAAGTGACGCCCGGTCACCTAACTGAAGGTGACGCCCGGTCACCTAACTGAAGGTGACGCCCGGTCACCTAACTGAAGGTGAAGCCCGGTCACCTAACTGAAGGTGACGCCCGGTCACCTAACTGAAGGTGACGCCCGGTCACCTAACTGAAGGTGACGCCCGGTCACCTAACTGAAGGTGACGCCCGGTCACCTAACTGAAGGTGAAGCCCGGTCACCTAACTGAAAGTGACGCCCGGTCACCTAACTGAAAGTGACGCCCGGTCATCTAACTGAAGGTGACGGCCGGTCACCTAACTGAAGGTGACGCCCGGTCACCTAACTGAAGGTGACGCCCGGTAACCTAACTGAAGGTGACGCTAGATCACACTCTACTACATAACTCATGAACTAAACATCATAATAATATTTGACACAAGCGCTTACAATATACTCCCAACAATACTTATATAAGAAAATCTATGTTTTTCCTGTATTTTATGGTTGGCTACCAGACGCTCGGGGTTAGCCCCAACAAACTTTGCCAGGTTACTGGTAGCTATTCCGGGATGTTCATAAGCGGGTCGGGGTTGACCCCCACCACCTCCTACCCCCCAACCCACCCCTTTGCACAAAGGGGCAAATCATACCAATTTTTAATCTTGGTAAATACCAGACTCCAGACATTCTAAGGTTTATCAAGCATATTATTTTCTACACAGTTAAATTTTACTTTGTCTCATATGGAATATACATTGAAGCTGGTTATAGTGATGAAGGGAAAGGTAGGGAAGGTGAAGGGTAGGGAAGGTGGTGAAGGGCAGGGAAGGTGGTGAAGGGTAGGGAAGGTGGTGAAGGGCAGGGAAGGTGGTGAAGGGTAGGGAAGGTGGTGAAGGGTAAGGGTGGTGAGGGTGAAGGTGGTGAAGGGTAGGGAAGGTGGTGAGGGTAGGGAAGGTGGTGAAGGGTAGGGAAGGTGGTGAAGGGCAGGGAAGGTGGTGAAGGGGTAGGGAAGGTGGTGAAGGGTAGGAAAGTGGTGAGGGTAGGGAAGGGTGGTGAAGGGGGAAGGTGGTGAAGGGAGGGAGGTGGTGAAGGGTGAAGGGAAGGTTTTTTTAGGTGAAGGGTAGGGAAGGTGGTGAAGTGGTAGGGTAGGGAATGCTGAAGGGAGCATATATACATTGGGTGGTGAGGGGGAGAAGTGAAGGTAAACATACAGTTGAAGGGTTTATTGAACACTGGTGAACAGAAGGTGATTCGGTGCTTTGAAATGCTAAGTACATACGTAAATACAAAGGGGGGATTGAAGGTACGGACATAAAGTGGTAGATGGGTAGGAAGGTTTTACATAGTGTCATTAATGTACAGAGGGGTGAGTGTGAGGGTGAGGTGGGGAAGGGGAAGGTGGGGGAAGTTAAGGGGGGTTGGGAGGAAATGATATAACGTCATCAGTTCAGCAAATTGGTGACTACATTGGTATGTATTCCATGCACATTCAAATTAACCCTAACACGATTCAAACATTTTCCAAGAATTATTTACGTTTAAGAACGATTGAAACATGCCTCAAGCATGATAGAAAGATGCCTTAAGCATGATAGAAAGATGCCTTAAGCATGATAGAAAGATGCCTTAAGCATGATAGAAAGATGCCTTAAGCATGATAGAAAGATGCCTTAAGCATGATAGAAAGATGCCTTAAGCATGATAGAAAGATGCCTTAAGCATGATAGAAAGATGCCTTAAGCATGATAGAAAGATGCCTTAAGCATGATAGAAAGATGCCTTAAGCATGATAGAAAGATGCCTTAAGCATGATAGAAAGATGCCTTAAGCATGATAGAAAGATGCCTTAAGCATGATAGAAAGATGCCTTAAGCATGATAGAAAGATGCCTTAAGCATGATAGAAAGATGCCTTAAGCATGATAGAAAGATGCCTTAAGCATGATAGAAAGATGCCTTAAGCATGATAGAAAGATGCCTTAAGCATGATAGAAAGATGCCTTAAGCATGATAGAAAGATGCCTTAAGCATGATAGAAAGATGCCTTAAGCATGATGGAAACATGACTTAAGCATGATAGAAACTTACTCCAAGCTTGAGACAAACATAACCAAGTATGATTGAAACGTACCTCAAGCTGAATTCATATGAATACTAAACTGCATAGAGACGTACCTAAACTTGTACCCTAGGAACAGGCGACCAAGTGACACTTGGCGAGAGAGAGAGAGGGAGAGAGGGAGAGAGAGGGAGAGAGAGAGAGAGAGAGAGAGAGAGAGAGAGAGAGAGAGAGAGAGAGAGAGAGAGAGAGAGAGAGAGAGAGAGAGAGAGAGAGAGAGAGAGAGAGAGAGAGAGAGAGAGAGAGAGACATTGACCTATAAGGTTGGTGTGTGTGGGGCAGTGTTGCTAGGGCTTCCCACCTCCCCCATCAGGGGGGGACCAGCACCCGGGGGTCCGCGCCCAGACACACCGCCGCCACACCCCAGTCCAACCAGTTGAGTGTTTGTTTTCATTTTTGTCCCAGGACATTGTCCCTCGTCCTGTGAACAGCATTTTAGTACAGTTGGGAGTGCTATCATGGTCTGACTCTCAGTGAAAAGGTTCCAATAATATTTACTCTGGTTTAATCTTATGTGGTGAAGTTAGGGAGGTTGAAAATGGTGCGGATATTGGCCTGGGAATAAGTTAATTCGTGTGCCTTAATTCCTTGATACTGAAACTGTTTCCAACATGACAGACTTCAGTGCCTGTGTCCCCCCCCCCCTGTGGTTATTAACTTGCCTGTCCTTGCCTACCTTATCGACTTGTCTCTGTATATTGCATCTCGAGAGCATGTCTCTGGTTTCTTTACAGTCGTTAGCCTCGGCTGACAGCTTTGTTTAATGTTTGACGTCACGAGGGCTTAGTGTTGACGTTGTGTATCCCAGATTATGCCTTGTAAGAGTTGTCTACAGATCCATCAACAAATTATTTATATTTCTGAAGGTAAGGCAAGATAATGCTGAGGAGGAAGTGCTAAGCCGGAGTTTAGGAACGGTGCCCAATCACTCGAGAATCGAACACAAACTCCCAAGAAACTTAAGGGCGTCGCTCTATTCACGAAGATTTACGATAACTAACTCTGCATATACCGCTTATGATATCCGGTGTATGTTCTCTCTTTTCTCTTATTTTTTTTTTAGCATGGTCAGGACTAGTTCTTTCAATCTTACTTCATGCTCCGTCCCTCGCAATTATGGAACGAGTCTCGTTGCAAACTTCTGAACCTTTTCAAGTTTCCTTATGCAGGTTTTAGATGAAGGGCTGTGATCTCTCCTAGGCAGTGTATGAAGATCTAAATGCCTCCTTATTTAGATTCCTGAATAATGTTCTCACTTTTACTGGTGACGAGCATGCTGCTGATGTTATCCTATTTACATGAGCCTCCAGAGTTAGGTTTGTTGTTATGTCCACTCACAGGTCTTTTTTTGAAGTTGTTAAAAGGGAGGTAGTCTCCCATCATTGTGTATCGTCATTTTGGTGTCCTGTGAGCTGTCCTACTTCCATCACCTTACACGTGCAGGTGTTAAAACCTAGAAGCCATTTCTCGAACGAAATACGCAGCTTTTCCAGGTCATCTTGGAGAATCTGAAAAAATCCTCATCTGTCTGAATTCTTCTCATTAAGTTTGTATCGTCTACAAACATCGTCATATATGTGTGTGTATGTGTATGCATTCACCTAGTTGTGCTTGCGGGGGTTGAGCTCTGCTCTTTCGGCCCGCCTCTCAACTGTCAATCAACTATTACTAACTACTATTTTTTTTCTCCACACCACACGCACCCCCAGGAAGCAGCCCGTGACTGCTGACTAACTCCCAGGTACCTATTTACTGCTAGGTAACAGGGGCATCAGGGTGAAAGAAACTGCCCATTTGTTTCTGCCGGTCCTGGGAATCGAACCCCGGTCCACATGACTACGTATCAAGCGTGCTGTCCCATCAGCTACCGGCCCACTTATTTTCTTTTAAGTGGTGTGTACTCACCTATTTGTACTCACCTATTTGTGCTTGCGGGGGTTGAGCTTTGGCTCTTTGGTCCCGCCTCTCAACTGTCAATCAACTGGTGTACAGATTCCTAAGCCTACTGGGCTCTGTCATATCTACATTTGAAACTGTGTATGGAGTCAGCCTCCACCACATCACTGCCTAATGCATTCCACCTGTTAACTACTCTCACACTGAAAAAGTTCTTTCTAACGTCTCTGTGGCTCATGTGGTACTCAGTTTCCACCTGTGTCCCCTTGTTCGCGTCCCACCAGTGTTGAATAGTTTATCCTTGTCTACCCGGTCTATTCCCCTGAGGAT